CACAAAAGGGCCAGAAATTACTGCTTTGAGAGAAGGAGTATTTCACTCCCAGCAAGGGTGAGACATGAGGCAAAAGAGCACATGACATCAGAATATTGAATAGAAAAGACATGCTAGCTTGATTTATTGTTGTAATGGTATTGCTGTGGTCAAAAACCTGTTGCTTAGGAGAGGAGGGAAGGATGGAAAAAACCAATATTTGGAGGTGATTTTTAGGGATTCTGAGCTGTCCTGTCTTCACTGCTAAAAAGGCTCAGTCTGCATAGGGGATTCCAGTAGCTCTTCTGTTACTGTTCTTCAATAATTGATGGCACTAACAAGATACTCAGCACTGCTTATATGAATATATACAATGCTTTAAACTTAACAGAAAAATAAGCTGTGCTGAAAATAGCTTCTTAGAATACTAAGCATCGTGTGCATGAAAATATTTTGTACACTGTCTTTCTGTATTCATAGGGGAAAACATGATGTACGTAAACATGTAGCAAAATAATACTCTCCTATATGGGCTACATCCTAAAAATCGTAGCATTTTTTTTCTGCATACCCATGTTAACTTAATTGTTATGGTCTATAAAACAGTCTGTAAAGCTCAAATGAGTGAGGCCTGTTTGAGTCTCTGCAAAATCTCATGGGGACCCGTCAGTGAGATTTAGTGTTGCATGAGGAAAAATAACGTTCATTTTAAGCAAAAAATGTCCACGTTACTGAAAGGCATATTTCCACTTTTATAAACTGTGAAGGTTTTCAGAATTAAGGTATGAGATCTGCTCATTAGAAATAAAGGTCTAGCTATGGAAGGTCATTGTACTTGAGGAAATCAGCCTTGCACTATAACTTAACTTTAGAATGGAAAGCAAACGACTTTGTTGAAATTTCTTTGAGAGAAAAATTCAGAAAACCATCCATCCTTCCATTTTACAGCACCAGTACAGCAGCTACTGCACTAGCTCACGCAATATTGCTTTCTTCCCCAGAAACTTACCAAAAAAACAAGGTATTTCCAAAAACATACCACATTATAATGAATATTGCTTGCAGTACCTTTATGAACTTGAATCTGAAATTAAGGGGGAAATACATCAGTTTCAGAATTAAAGTGGTATTTATGAGCCAATGGAACAATTTATTTTTTTTTAATTAGTGTCTAAACTTTTTCTGTTAATAGCACAAAATCCTTGCAGTCTTCTTCATTCCTAGTTTCCCAGTTTATGGTAGAATTCATTTATCTGAAAAATAAAAAAGCTTCTTTCTTCCCTTTTAAAGCTGCTTATGAATGAGAGTATTTTCTTCTTTTAAACTTGTGCTTATGGAACTATAGCCTTATACTTACTTTGTTATTTTCAGAATCTCATAAACAGAAAGACTGCATAAAGCTCTCTTTGAATCTGAAAACTATACTGTAGTAATGCAGCAATACCAATACAATATGTAGTGAGTACTTTTCTCCACAAGCTTTCAAAAGGTTTGTTTGGAGGCTTGTTTGCATACATTACTTGAAGCATAGCATTTGCTAGTCCAGTTCTCTAAACTGTATGTCTTACTTCTTTCAGAGTCCTTGCACAGCAGAGTTTCTGTAGCAAAATGACAGAGACACAGAGACAATGATAATAATTGAATAATGTGGCTAAATGAAAAAGTTACTATTGAGATTATTTTTTTTTCATTTGAGACACGTGATACCAAAACAAGTCTATAAAGTAAGTCACAAGGGTACAGAAGTAGTCATAGTGGGTTCAGACTATGAAAATCAAACCATGAGACTATATTGTTAAAGAGAAATTCCTCCATAGTTTTTAAGAAAAATAACAGTCTAGGAAAAATTATCAAACATTGTGTTTTAGGATAGCTGTAAGCCAATAGCATCCTCCTGAGTGAAACCATAAGGTATGCGCAGTAGCTGAGAGAAAACCTGGGAATGCTTCAGATCATTAATTCAGGTAAGACAAATAATTTTGCATTATATAGTCATAATTATCATTAAAAACCTAAGCAAGGAATTATGATAAGGATCATTTCCCCTGAGTAAAGGCCCCAAGTAACTAATGAAATGTGGTGTAGACCAGGCAAAACAATGCTTACTGCTTTTATGTTTCTGTGCAAGAAACTGCAGCATGCATTGTGGCATACTTCATTTGCTGGTTCTTTGACACACTTCAGAATAGGTCATCAATATATGCCAGAGTGACACACTTCTGGTTGTTACTCTCATTAAAAGCATGTCCTTGTATGAGGAGCATCAAATGTGTCATCAAAGCTGGGATAGGGATTACGTGGGGAATTTTAGACAGCCTCCAGGTGTTATCCATATAAACTATTTGTAATACTGGTTAAAAATAATCAAAAAACATGGGGTACAGTGACCTGTGAACATGACAGAACTGAACAGAACAGGACAGAAAAAAATTGCAAACATGGCAAATTTCACAGGGTCTCAGCTCTCTTCTTTTAATCCCATCTTTGGTGTCCCAGCCTGCCATTGGCCATTTATATCTTAAGATACTAGTTCCTAAGGCAGATGTGGAAAGAGCAAAGCAAGGACTTGCCCCAAAGAACATGCAGTTTCTTCAGACAAGTGAAAAATAAGGGCAAGGTTTTTTTACCTTATGATCAGTGAGATCAACAGAGCAAAGCTAGAAAGAGAAGGATTAAGAAACAGTGGTGGGTGGTATGATGAAATCGGTATATTGGTCTGTGAGTATATAAGAAAGAGCTGATGAAGGCAATTCTGAGAGGAGCTGTTGTAAGTAACATGGACACTAGTCGGGAGCTTGTAAGGATGATTAGTCTATAATAGAACGAGTTGACTAACAATGGAGAAAGAGTTTGTGGGGGAGGGAGAAGGAATTCCAGTTTCTCAGTCACAGGACTAGTAAACACTGCTTCATACACTTGCTACATTACACACATGCTTCTGAAAGGGCATGTTTCCCTGTTAGACATGAAGAGACCTGCCAGAGGAAAAGAGGTGCTAAAATGTGATTAGAAGAAGAGGTAGGTATTTTATCTTTTATTCATCTGGTCAGTCTGTATATGTTTGCTTTGCTTTTGGTGAGAAGTGGGTCAGCAAAACCCTGGGATCCAATTTCTAGAGCTAGATTTTTAATTTGTCATACTTACCTATATTGGTGGGTTTACAATGCCCTATTTACTGTGTGGTTTCATTAAACCACACTGAAAAGCAGACATATATTTCTTATATTTCTCTTACATACAGACACTGTAGGGTTTTTAATTTGTCATCATGTAAGCAAAGCAGCTCATGAATCAAACTGTCAAGTCCTCAATAATTTTCCATGTCTTTCAAGCCTGTGAATGAATTTAGCTCTGTGAAAGGTTAGCCAACTTGATAAAATTAAACAGTGGCTAGCAAAATGAAATGTGATTTCTGACTAGTTTTGTCATGCCTATGTTTTTCCCTTAATGTACATGTATTTATTTTAATTCATTTTTTTAATGGAAAAAAGATACAGATAATAACCTCTCTACAGAGGCAAAAAAACCTACTTGACTTTCTCTGAAAAACCCACAAACCTACACACACAGACACATGCATCAGACTCATACAAGGCAGAATGAATTTGCCTACTACACGGGAAAATCCCTGCACCCAAATTATCTTCAGTTTAAGCTGTTTCCCATGTAGGAGCAGTTGTATCTTGCAATCTAGTTCTGCAATCTCCCTCCTCTGCTGGCAGTCTAGCCTCAAACCACAGATGAGTTATCACACACAGTCTCTGAAGCTCTTAGTGTATTTGGCAATAGAGCTGGACCAAAACAAATATTCCCTATTCTTGTTTTTCCTGTACTTAACGATTAGATCTTTGGTAAAGAGAATTACTTGTTGTCAGGGCTGTGATATAATGAGTGTCAGCTGTCTCATAGCTATAGCTGTAAACCCTTTCTTACTTAATCAATAAAGTGGTTTGGGCTGGAAGGGACATTAAAGATCATCTAGTTCCAACCCCTTGCACGGGCAGGGACACCTCCCACTAGATCACATTGCTCAAAGTCCCACCCCGTCTGGCCTTGAACACTTCCAGGGATGAGGCATCCACAATTTCCCTGGGCATCCTGTTCCAGTGTCTCACCACCCTCATGCTAAAGAATTTCTTCCTAAAGAAAAGGTCAGCTTCTAAGGCTCAAGATGGAGCTCCTCCAGTCCCACTCTTTAGTCACAGCTGCTGTTTCACTGTTCTCATGTTGAAGCTGTTAACACCCACAGCCCTGGTAGTGCCCAAGGCAAGCTTAATTGCTAATGATTTAATAAACTCATGCATTGTATGGTAGCTGCAATCCTTACAGGAAAGAAGTGTAAATGAAAAGTTGTGCTCAGAGAGGGAGTCTTAGAGTCTAAGAGACAGTCTGGCAGATTCTCTGGTGTATGCAGGAACCCACTGTCCTGCCAGGCTTCACCTGAGGATTTCTGAGGCATGCAGTAAGCTTTGCTGGAATAGTCCAGTTGACAAGTTCTTGGAGGATCACATACAGAGAACAGGGGGGAAGCAGGGAAATGTGAGGAGTCAAGAAGACAAGAGAGTGATTTGCAGTAGGGAAACATACCAGCCACACATTCTGAGCACATACCAACATCCAGTGGTGCCTGAATCCCTATCTTTCTGTTCTTGTCTGTCTATTGACTTAGAAAGGAGGAGGTTATTTGGGATAAGAAATCTGTCCTATTTGTATGGCCAAAGTCCTATTCTGCTCACCAGAATAACAGCAAGTGCACTTCTGTTACTTATGGTGCACTTTCTGCTCTCCTTCAATTCCCCCACAAGAGACACCTGGGATTGCAGGACCCTACCCCTCTGGAAGTGTCTGAACTACTTATCCTACTTTTGCTGTAGAAGCTTGCATCTGACTCACCTTGACCACCTTAGACATTTTCTTTCTTCTAAAAAAGAGCAAAACCCACCAAGAAGCCTATGAAAAAACCCAAACAGAAGTGTTATTATTGCTGACAGTTTTCCTTTTTGGTAACAGAAGTCTGGAATCTTACATCCAGGTCGCGAAGAACTAACAGATGACCACCCATTGGACTACAGAGGATTTATTATTGCACGGAGGCTGGAATTAGCCCAAAGATACTAGTCAGGGTGAACAATGAACAACACTGCTAAGTGCCATGATGATCACACCCTGGATAAGTATTTGTTTCCATTTGTGTACAGCATTGTGATGATAATCAGTATTCCCATCAACGGCATATCCCTCTATGCATCTTGCATTCAGGTGAGGAAAAAGAATGAGTTAGCAGTCTACCTCTTCAGCCTATCCCTGGCTGACCTTTTGTACTCTCTGATTCTGCCTCTGTGGATTGATTATGCTTGGAATGGAGATAACTGGAGGCTATCTGCTTCACTTTGTCAGATAGCTGCCTTCCTTATGTATATGAATTTTTACACCAGCACAGCGTTCCTTGCATGCATCTCTATTGACAGGTACCTGGCATTAGTTCACCCCTTGAAGCTCCAGCACTTGCGCACAAGAAGATTTTCTTTGATTGTCAGCATAATTGTTTGGGTTCTGGAAAGCATTTTTAATTCAGTCATACTGGTGAAAAAAGACGTATTCAGTGATCCTTGCAATTTCACTAATCATACATTATGCTATGATAAATACCCCCTGGAATGGTGGCAGGCTTGGATAAATTTGTTCCGGATATGCTCAGGCTACCTTGTTCCTCTGATAATCCTTGTGTTTTGCTACCATAAAATCTACAAAGTAGTGAGGAGTAATCAAGCAACAGTAGATGAAGAAAAGAAAAAAGTGAGGAAACTTATTCTGAATATCACAGTTACTTTTGTTGTTTGCTTCACTCCTTATCACGTCGTATTGCTTATTCGCAGCATCAAAGAACCTTACACCACTGACCCACAAATTTTGCAGTTGATGTATAAGGTTTACAGAATCACACAGGCCTTCACAAGCTTGAATTGTATTGCTGATCCTATTCTTTACTGCTTTGTAAGTGAAACTGCACGAACAGACATATTGAATTTGCTCAGGTGTTGCTTGTGCCTGCAAAAGCGTGAGGGACACCAAGCAAAAGACCATGCTCTGTGCAGTTCTGCTACAAAGACCAGTGCACTGATCAGCTACAAAACTTCCTGTGAAGCAGAGACTGTAAAAAATGCCTGAGCAAGCACAATTCAAAATAATATTGGATAACATAAAGGGGAAAAGAAAAAAAATTCTTCCTCAGTCTGTACCTCAGAAATACCCCAAAAGTCACAGATACTAATATAAATTAAACCAGTAGCTGGAGCTGATGAGACTTTATTACAGGGTCAGTGAAATCAATGAAGTATCAAAAGGCATCAGGCTTGGTACATAAATCTATGTCAACAAATAAACGCACAGTCAGGAGATATGACCATGACATGCTGACAAAATTGCTGAGGATCCCCCACAGAGCTGCCTCCTATTGCAGCTTGCTGGCTAGCCTGCACGCTGGGCATATGCGTGCTCAGCTGGAGGAAAGCTGAAGTCCTCTTAACCTAGTCATTTGTTTCCCAGTTTTAGTAGAAACCTAAAGCTTGGCTGAGAAGGAGCTCCAAAAGGGTTTCTTTCCTTTCTTTTAAATCAGTACTGAGGTAGAGATGAATAAAGCATGCATACACATGGAGATCACTGAAATTATTGACAAAGGTGCAGATAGAGGGAGAGTGGTAAATCGCCTTAATTTCATGGTGTAATTTATGCTGCTATGATGGTTCTTGTGTTCCAGTAGTGACTCAAGTCATACCTTCAGCATACCTGAGATTTGCCACTTTTTAAAATTGTTTGCCTCATGTGGATGGATACTTACCTGCTCTTGTGCTTTTAAACTGTTGTTTTCTTTGGAACATCTGTTCTTGAATGTATAAATATATGTCATATTGTTTCATTACAGTATCAATATTGGGTTTCAGAGAGTTAAAGATTCATTACTTCAAGTACATAGAAAGAAGCAAATACTAGCCATCAGTGGTTTAACTTGGATTAACTTTTTCCTGATACATACAGTGAGAAAAGGAAAAAATTGAGAGGTGAGGTTTCATGTATCCACAACATTATGGACCAGCCTTTAGCCTTGCTTATTATAACAGAAATCTGGAGTATGGTTATGTTTGCAGAGTCAAAAGAGCAATAAGGTTTATATCCATCTACTTAACTGCCCCTGGAGACCTCAGCTAAAAGTTCCAGAGCTTTTTAAAACTCAAACAACAAACCAACAAAAAATACTGACAAACCAGCAAAGAATGTTATTGTAGCAACAAACTATATGAATGGCAGCAAAAAACGCCTCACTTTGGAAGGGTTGAAGTTAGCAGAAGTATAGCTACTAATTCAGGTATCTGTTCCTGTGCAAACCCCTGCAGCAGCTGTGTAGTTCCCTGGTAGCAGCAGGAACTTGACCTCTGAAATGAGCCAAAACACCATGGAAAATCCTTTCCCCCCCCCCCTCCAGTCACAAACTTTTCACTTTTGTTCAGTTGCCAGGAAGAACATTTGGTTATGGTGGCTGTCCAGTTTCTTGGGGAACTTTTTCTTTCCCCATGAATCAAAAATCAAAAATCAAATTTAAAAATTCCCCTCTAGCAAGTCTGTGTAGTGGAAAGATTTTGAACAGCAATTTCCCAGCACACTTCTATGTCTGACATTATACTAGAAGAATTAGTATATAGTGGTCACAAATTATATGAAACTTCTAATTAGAAGGTCTCTCTACTTGGAAAATGACAATTTTTTCCATTACAAAGAGACACTTTCATTGTTTTCATGAGTTCCTCTTTGTGTCTATTTTTATTTTCAATTAATTTCACATTCCAAGAGGGGAACTTGAGAGGCTGAGGAGGCTGGACTTGTTCAGAAGGGCTTTGGGGAACCTAATGGCAGCCTTGCAATACTTGCAAGGGGGGTACTAAGAAGATGGAGCCAAGCTCTTCACAAGAGTACATAGCAGGAGGACACGAAATCCTGTGCATAACTTGAAGCAAGAAGGGTCAGAGTTGATATAAGGAAAAACTTTTGAACTATGAGGACTGTCAAGCAGTGGAACAGGTTGCACCAAGATATTCTGCATGCTCCATTCTCACACGTTTTCAAGACAAAACTGAAGAAAGCCCTGAACAACCTGGTCTGGCCTCATATCTGAGCTTCCTTTGAGCAGAAGTTAGGACTAGAGACTTCCTGAGGTGCCTTCCAAAAACAATTGTCCTGTGATGCTTTGAACTGTGTCACTATTCTGGCTTTTGCCTTCCTCTCTAAAAAAAGTATGTTCCCTTCCCTTCTTTGTTTTCATTTGCTGTATTTTGTTTTGTTTTGATATGAAGATTTTTTTCAATAATAAGTTCTTTTATATTATGAAGCAAAAATATGCAATCAGCAGTGCAAGTTACTTCACCACAGACTTGTTCCTATGCTGACGTGTATTTTGCAACAGAATGTGAAATTTTCCTGCAACACTGGAATAAAAGCAGAACCAAATTTCACTGTAACTTCATGGGAAAAAATAACTCACTGTTCATTTCTAGACATTTCCCATGCCAGAAATGTGGGAAATTAAGTTATATTGGGGGTTCTAATTTATTTTGAATAAAGAATAGTGAAAACTAAAACTAACCAACAAAACAGATTCAAATTTAACTTGTGCATCAGGGAGCAGTGAGAGCTGCCTGCTCTGCAAGGGATAGGGCACCAGGAGCTGAGGGTGACAGCCAGGCAGGTTAGGCAGCATCCTCACTGAGAAGCCACAAAGCCATACAGGCCCATGGCACCCCAGGAAGGCACACAGAGCAGGTCTGGTGGTAGCAACCACTGTTGGCCAGCAGCTCTGTGATCACCTCACAAATCAATAGTGATGAAGCTGCTCTGTAGTCAAACCAGGAAGTCAAGTCAGGAAGGCAAGGTCTGGGTCAGCAAGGTATGAGGCTGGACACAGCTGCACCATATCATTACTGGGCTTTGCACAAGCAGCCAAAACCCAAGGAGGCAGGAGAAGAGACCACGGTACCTCCCTGCATTGCTGAAGATCCACTTTAAGATAAAGAAAAACAATTATGGTGGCTCGCCTGTAGGCTGGGCTTCACAAAAAGCTCAGATAAGTTCAGGGTCCTATCACTTTATGATAAAAAATGTAGGTACATGATTCCTTAGATTATTCTGGAATTCTCAGTCTATGTGTTTAAATCACAGCCCCCTGGAGAAATGAGGAAACTTTTAGATGTAAAGACTACAATGTCCTGTATTTCAATCATTTGTGTATTTACCTGATTATTCTTACATAGCTAAAAATTTACGCTTTTTTCATTCTTTATCCAAATTTGTTTTTCCCAGCTGGGGCAAATTCACTGTATGAAAGTGAACATCTGTGTTCTTTTTAAAATTGCAGTGTTCCAGGAGAGATACTTTGCACTATGCAAAGGTGGCATAGTAAAAAGTAAATGTCTTCATCCAGTTTCCAAGCCATGCCTGTGTACTGATGTTACTGAATATTCCACCTAGAATTCCAAATGGCTCTGCTGGCAAAAACAAGTGCAAATTCACAAGAACACTTCCCAAAGCAAGGACATTCCTTACAGAAATGGGTTTATAAAATCTAAGTGTCTAAGTTCCATTTTCCTCACAAACAACACCAAAAGCATTATTGTATGGCCCCAGTAAGTCACTTTAGTTCCTATCTCACTTCCCAATCTATATAATTAGAATATGGATAGTTAAAAGGGCTTGTGATGGTAATTTAGTTAATATCCACAGGGTATGAAATGCTAGTGCCAAATGATATTGTCAGCAGAGTAACAACAGAGGTGAATTTATATGTTAGTTATTCACTTAAAGCAGAATATATTTGCCAGAAGTCCTGCAAAGGTATAGCTCAGTGTCCTAAATTTGGAGCTTCTCAGTAAACTATGGTGACCTAATTGGTAGAATTTCAAACTTCATTTGATTTGTTTTTCCTAGAATCTTAGCCACAAGCTGCATCACTGCATTCATGATACAGATCATTATTCTTTTCTGACGTAGCTAAACGTCAGGTTTGCCATGTTAACATCACTGGGTCAGTCCTGACTCACATGGTTTTAGGCTCTAATGCTGTAACTTTAGAGCCAATGAGACAGGTGAAAGTAAGTTTGAATTTAACTTATACTCCACTTCCTGTTTCCATTCATGGAGAATGACGCTACTAAAATAATTCTGATTAGTCTAGTGACAATGTTCAGAGTCACTCTTAAGTCACTCTTAATTTAAAGCCAGTAAAGAAGGGAGCACTGTACCATAGTTAAGCTAAGTGCCACTTTCCGTATTACTTATCAGTTTCATCAGTGTCATCATCAGTCTAGTTCTCTGTTTTCTAAGGTGATAAAGGAGAAAACAGTTAATTTGTTCCCCACCACAACGCAGCATACAGAGAACATGGGTGGGAGTATTTGGGCACTTGAGAACAGCGTGACTACAAGAGCAGACGATCTGCTTGCGCAGGACAAGCCTGCAGGGAAGGAAACCATAGTGTGAGGCTCTGAGCTCAGCAGCAGCCAGAGGCAGCTGCTG